AAGGCAAAACTGCTGGAGGACTTTACATATTTATTTGTAATAAAAGATATTTTTCAAATTGTTTTCAAATAAGTTCTAGCTTAATTGCTAATAATATGAATTTTTATTAGAATTAATTGATAGGATATGGGATGGGAGTAGTTTAATTAAGTACAGTGTACTGTAAAATCAGATAGATCCTGATGTTTCAGGAGTACAATGTAATATATATTATGTAAGAAATGGGTCACCTGAGCTGAATATGCTAATTTACATAATCTTTGAAAGGAGATTAGGAATTGAAATGTATGCATACCATAAAAATGGGAAACTCCTTACATTTTATTTCATTTTTAGATTTTTTGTGGCATTCAATAAGGATTTTACAGTGACTGGGAGAGAAGTTTTTGAGAATTTAATGTTATCTGATAGTGTTAACACTGTAACCATTACTTATGGGAAATGTATTAGTGGAATCAACAGACAGAGCTCTTAGCCTCCAAGGTAAAAAAAAATTACTGTAACAATGGTTTTATTTTGTCTTAAAGTTGTTCATGACAATTCATCAGTGTTTGAATTTCTGAAATAATTATTTCTTCTTCCTTTTTTGTATAATTTATGGTCTGTAGCCATTTTTTTTAGCTACAGGTTAATTTTAATAAATCAATGATAAAACTACATGGAAAGCATTGCAGTATTAATTTCTTTATGTAAGTTTGTGTGTATATGACAATCTGTGTATGTGAGCATTAGAAAGCTTACCTAAACTGAAAGCTCAAGAAAACTTTTTTGATCACCCTTGTTCATCATCCAATCAGACATCTATTGGTTTTTTTGTATGTCTGTCTGTATAGCTAATCTTCCATCTGTAAACTTTTCACATTTTTGATTTTTTCTTTAAAACCACTTGTTGTCGCCCGCATGGCATAGTGGTTAGAGGGTCTGCTCTAGAGTCGCGGAGTAAGGAGTTGATCCTTACACGTACATCGTGGGTTCGAATCCCACTGTAGGGATTATAAACCAAGGTCCCATGTCGCAGTAGGTGCTGACATGAAAAAGATCCCTCACTGCTCAATGGCTGTAAGTGCCGAGTATAGGACAACATTTGCAGATCTCCACCGGCAAGTGGCATTCCCATATGAGTGAAAATTCTCTTGAGGGACATTAAACAACATACAAATAAACAAACATAAAACCACTTGTTTGATTTTGATAAAATGTACAGGGAGACAATTATGGTGACTTCTTCACATGCAGTGAGAAGACTGTGTTGTCTGCCTTCAGATGACAATGAAATAATGCAAGTGAATGTGCATGGTTAACAACAGATATGTGTTCTCTCCCTTAGATGAAAATAAAATGTTGTATTTAATCAAGATAACTCAAAATTGTCTGTATGTTAACATATGTTGAAAGATAACATATATGGAATCAGAGCAGATGGTCGAACACAGGAGGTTTGACTGATATATATATTTTTCACTCTACTTTTTTAATTTTGAAATTTTCAGGATAATGAAACTATTATGGGTTATTTAGAAGGAAAAAAATCACAAAGGTCTGGGTAGGGTTGAAGTGAGAAGTCACAAATCATGAAGTTTAAGTAGGGTTGTCACCCTTGAGCACAAGTGTCAGAGGGAGACAACCCTACTTAGACCTCATAATTTGTGAAGTCTTCATTCTAAACATTTCATAATTGTATATAGTGCCATTTAACTCACATGAACCAAAGGTTCAAGTTAGATTTTCTTGAATTAGTTTGTCCACTGACCATCAGTCTGTACATTTTTAACATCTTCTCAAGAACCACTGAGCTTATTTCAGCTAATAGGGTGAGGCTACCATATGGAGTCAAAATTAATGTTTTGATTAATAGCACTGCAAAGATGACTCAGCTGAGCATTAATTGTTGCCTTTCGACTTCTTGTAATTTTTTTTTTTTTTTTTTTTTTTAGAGTTGGGAGAACAGGAGGGCCTGGAGTTTCATGCTGATCAATGTTTAAGAAAAGTCAGCCATCAAGACATAACCAATTTTCACCACATATCCTCACCGACTGGAAATTGGCTGTAATTTTTGGCGATCAAGTTGATTTAGGTGAAAGGAAAGCATCAAATACGTAGGTACTTAATTTATAATATACAGTTAAAATGTTTTTCAGATGAATATGAGAATTGATTCAGTTCTCTTAACAATATTAAATGTGTACTGTAACAGCTAGGATTTAGAGTGATTATTAATTTTAAATAGTAAGGCACATGAATACTAGTACTAGCAATTGGATTAACAAATCCATTATTATGACATCATCTGACATCATGACAAATTCCGAAAGACATAAATTTACTTCAAAACAGATACATGTACCGGTAAATGTATGCAGAATATACACAAAGTTTCATTTATGGTACATGTATATTGATAGACGAAAAATAATACTTTTAAGTCTTTTATACATTGACCTCTTTAGGGGTGAATTTTAGTCAGTCATTTTGACTGGATCAGAAATCTTGAGTGATCGATATTCAATTCATTCTCTTATTTTAGTGAAAAATTTAATCCATGCTTTGTTATATGGTATTATTGAATGATTTATTCCATTTTTTTTTTTCTTTCACAGAAAATAAAGGCAAAGTAGCTGACATAAAGTACATGTATCATTTGAAGATTTATCCCCCTTGTAAAAACAAGAAATGCAAAGGTAATTAATTCTTCGTCAGAATAGAGAGACTGAATAATAAAATTTTACAAACCATACTTAAGTCAACAAAAACTACTTTGATTGATTAGTACCCAACAAACCATTTACAATTGAATTTTGCAGTTTTATATCTTTAACCTTAAAAAAAAAAAAAATTAAATTTGAAATTTTTTAATCCTTTTCCTCACACAGCAACTGTCCTCTTTTTTTCAGTTCACAGATACATATTCATAAAAGGAGAAATCATCTCATGATCTGTGGATCCATGGAAAACTTTAAGGACAACATTTTTGTAAAGAGTGTTGACATTGATTCAGAATATCTAAGAATTAAAACCAAGAGAATTAAGTAATTATGCATTGTTAATTATTCTTTTTATTCATGTGTCAAATTTCCTAATTCAAAAATAAAGGTTTAAATAAAGATTTTTTTTTCATTTTTTTAATTAAAACAAGTTCCATAATTTATTTTCTTTGACATAAACAGACATTTAAATATAAAATGAATGAATGTGTACCTTTATTCAATGAGGGAATACATGTAACGTGGCTTAATAAATGTAACAGTTATAAATGATAATCATTATGATTTAATATCAATATGCATTTCTGACAAAAAAAATTTGAAAATCTTCCAGAAAGAAGTAACTGGATAAAGCCACTGAACTATAAGTTAATTTGGTACCAATTAGGATCATTCGGATATATTTGCATCAGAGCGAGGGTATTACCAGTGAGCATTGACTCACAGTGGACCTCTTATTTTATGTGTTACGGGGTGTTCAAAACCAAGGTGCATGCTGATGCTAAACATAGAACAAACTTTCAATAGCCTGAAGATGAATTGCCTACAATCAGTTGAATTCATGTCAGTAATGGACTAATGGTGCATCTAGGTATTGTATTATAGTACCAAAGAAAAAAAAAAGATCAGCAGCTACATGTACTATTATTTAAGAAGTAACACAACCAAGGAAAACTTGGTTTCTACTGTGTGATATGAAACAGTGAGTAGAGTACCACCACAAATATTTCTGGATCCATGCCCTTTCATCATGTTTATTTTTGAAAGGGTTCAATACACTGTTCAAAATTCTTTTGATTGTAACATTAATATAAACAGTTAAGAAATTAGTTAAAAAGGTGTCAAATATTTTTTTTTAATGCAAACTACGAGTAAATGTGCATAATGAAGACGGTTAGATTTTTATCAACATTATTTTCTGTTCATTTGATCGGGTTCGTTGTGTATAAAATAATTTCCAGCTGTCATCGGAGCAAGTCATGTCACAAAGAAAATTAAAAGTGAAAATGTGGTAAATTATTACAGCTTGTGCAATTGAATAAGTTTTTATACTTTCTTAGAAACTCTGAGTAACTGATACAATCCAATGCCATGTGATTTTTCAGCTTATAATTTAGTGTAGCAAAGTAGAACAACGTGCATGGATTTGATCGTGTTGTGAAACTTGACAAATGACATTTACCCGGTATGCAATGAATTAACCTATCTTACGTAAATGTTTAGAAGGGGAGGATAAACAAAGCAGTAATTTCTTCTTTCTTACATACTTTCTACTTTCCCATTTAAATTTGTGGTATTTAACAAAATAAGGTAATCATGGTAATGTAGACTTGATACAGAGGAAATTTTTTTACTTGAAAACTCAGTGTCAGAGAGAATTATCATAATAGAACTTTTGATTTTTAGTGCTATTATAATCTTTAATTATATTGAATTTTTTTTTTAAACATTACCCCAAATTGTTTAAATTTAAGAAATAAAAAAAATGGTTTAGGAAACACAAAACTTTAATCAAAATAAATGATGGTTAAACTGTTCACTAAATGACTTGTTTCTTTATTTGGGTTAAAACTGTTGTTTCTTTATCCCATGGGAGAAAATTTGACCATTTTTTTTATGAATATGGGATAAATCCCATATTTATAAAGAGATGGGAGATGATCTCCTATATTTAAGTATATGGGAGATTTTGTTCCATTATAAAGAATTAATGGGATTTTCAAACTTCTATGGGAGAAAAAATCCCACAGGATACCTTTTCTCCCATAGGATAATGGTGGGATATTGGTTAGGAGAAGAAATCCCACCATTATCCCATGGGATTTCCTGATTACAGGTATAATATCTTTTTACCTAGAAGATAATCAGGTGTAAATTTTGGTTCATGTGTTTAGTTTTAAAAAATCCCATCAGATGACATAAATGGTTGACATGTATCTTTATAAAAGTGGTTGGCGAAAGTCCGGACAAATGTCGTGTCCGGAGTTAAATGTCGCACTGTTGTATGTGTTTTTCTAGATGCCGGGGACGGTCCGTATAAAGATCACGGAGCTGAATCCCCACCTGATCTGCGTGTTGTGTGGCGGGTATTATATCGACGCCTCTACCATCAGGGAATGCTTACATTCTTGTGAGTTTTGATTCCCAAACGAAGAATATAAATTTCTATATAAATATGATAAAGTATACCCTGCATTGCATATATGTAGTTGTGATTGACAGATTAATAATTATCTGCTTTTGTCTCTCATTTTAGTTTGTAGGACATGCATCATCAAATACCTTGAGACAACCAAATATTGTCCAATATGTGACGTCATGGTTCATAAAACGAAGCCACTTCAATACGTCAAGTAAGTCAATCTATGTCACAGTTGTATTTTTATGAGGCCTCAAAAGTAAAGTAGAAATCAGGTTAGTTACAGATTCATTGCAAAACTGCTTGGTAATAATGCTAAGTCTTGAAAAAACTTGAGGGGCACCTGTACCTTAAATCATGTGATACACTGAGTTTTCATATGGATCATAATCATGTGGTGATACCTGTACCTTAGATCATGCACGATATTTGAGTTTTCATATGAAACATAATCATATGGTGATAAGTACATGATATGAATTTCCTGTGCTCTGGTCGTACACGCAGTACTTCAGTAACTTCACCTGGAAATTAAAAACTTCAGGTTTTTAATCAGTAAGAACATTACTTCTCCTATTACCAATATAAATCCACTTTGAAATAAATTGTATACTTGTGACCTCTTGTGAATTTTTTTTTATAAGTTGGTAAATATATAATATTTTAAAGTTTTTCTTTAAAAATAAAATTATATTAAAATCGTGTAATTTCATTTGTATTATACTTTGTAGAAGTTTGTTTGCCCATTTATTCAGAGTTATAATTCTAACTGTCCAGCTTCGAAGTTCGAACTGGTCTGCACCTTTTTAAAAGCTCAGCAAAATGCAAAGGTTGAAATAAGCAAGCAAGTGAAAATAAAGCACAGAACGACTTAATTTGTGCCGGCGTTAGTCTTATTTTTAATTGTATCAGGTGTGAAATTTGGATCCTTCTTTACAATCCTGAGCAGAATTTCTGTAGAGCAGGTGTTTATCTCTCATTTCTAATTAATAAAGTGACATCCATACTGAACAGGATAAGTTTTTAATTAATAAAGAAGATGTTGAAATAGAAATTCTTTAATGAAAAATATTTTTCTTTCAGATCAGACAAAAATCTGCAGGACTTGGTGTATAAACTTGTTCCGGGACTTTACAAGGGTATATATATATATATATATATATATATATATATATATATATATATATATATATATATATATATATATATATATATATATATATATATATATATATAGTGAAAATCATTCAGAAAGAAAACACGAGGAAATTAACAACACAATAAAGCATATGCTTTTTCATTTACAATATTCAGATACTTAATAACTTAATTAAACAAGGGGTCTAACATATCCTCTTCTTTTGTGTGTTTTTCTTAAGAACTTTCTTTTCCAGACGAAATGAAGCGACGAAGAGAATTCTATTCCAGCCATCTTGAAGGTAAGTCAATACGCTTACATAAATTCTCTGCTTCGATTTCGGCTTTCTAAGGTGGCAAAAAAAAACTTAATATATAGATTTAATGTCATTTCTTGTCAGAGAATGTACAGATTTTTAACAGTTCAACATTGAATCGACTTTTTTCTAATTTAGTGGTAAAAATATTTTAATTCTTACATTTGTTATTTTTATTGCAATTATTTAGAAATTATTTAAAACATTTTGATTGAGAGATGTCAAATAATGATACCGATAAAATGTTTACGATATCCGATACAATACTCGATATCCGGTTTAATGTACGGTATCGTGTTCAATGTATGGTATCGAGTATAATATGCGATATCTTGTATAATGTACAATAATGTAGATACAGAAACTTGGATAGTTTAAAATTGATACAAAGAGGGAAAACACCTTGGCAGGTAGAATTTTCCAACATGTTATACATGGTGTTACGAGAAAAAAAAAAGATGACTTAAAGAAAATATATTAACTTATCATTTGTAAAATTATATGTCTAATGAAGTACTCAAGGGTAGAGATACAATAGCAGGGATTCGACACTCTTAATGATAATCATGGTTGTTGAAAAATGAAATTGTAATATTGGATTAAACATCATTAAAGAAGATGGGCGAAAAAGGCGAGCAAAATGCCTATTGTGCGACAATCAAAAAGTGAAAAATTAAATCTCAATTAGTTCAAAATTTTCTTCGATATCTCATTTAACTTTAACATTTATACTTTATGTAAAAACTCCACAAATCGCAAATCTATGAAATCGCATACATACACCAAAGTGAGCAAAAATGATAAATTTTTCATATTAAAATACAAATTTTCCATATGAATGGACCTTTGCTCTATTTTTTTGAAAGATTATACTCAAAGTATGCGAAAAATATGAATTCTTCGGTTAGCAAAACCATGGAGAAAAGACCCACTATACCTTGAAAATACACTTTTATGACACTTTTATGACACAACATTCAATAATTGGAGTCCATTTAGTCAAGGATCATATCGCAAACATTATTACAGTTTTTCTTATGAGCGGTATAGCTTGTTAGTTTCTTAGAGGATATTGATATACATGATTTTTATTGCTTGGGTTCGAACCACAAGAATACCACGTTTTTTTTCCGCAGAAAAGTTTCGTTCGCCATATTTCCATACCTTTCAATGAAAAGATCTTTACTCTTAATACTAAATTCACAAATTTCATACGATTTTAATACATTTAGAGCTTTAGGCATTTTGAACGCCTTGTTCGCCCATCTTCTTTGTAATGACCACCTGTTTTGGAAGAAAACTAAATATTGCTTTTAAATATAACATTTTAAAAAACACCTCAAAACGCATTAAATAGACAAAAAAAAACAAAAAAAAAACAATGCAGGTATTTAAAAAATGAAGCACAGCTAAAAACTTTTGGTTATAATAAAGATTGTCTTTTCATCATGTGTGACAGGCATGACATCACTGTTTAGTTACACCCCCCTTTCCCCATCATATTCTGGTACAACAGCACCCAGTCACAGACACTCTGAGTGCTATATAATCTTATTTGAGTACCCCTCCCCCCTTTCTTCTCCACCTGGGAAAATTCTGTAGTAAGGGCCTTCATGCACAAAGTTGTTGAGACCTGTGGGAAGCTTGTAACAGCTGTCACACGGACAACACTCAGTGTACACATCAATCATTAGGACAGATTAATATAAGCATGTCATTATTTAACTGGAAAATTTCTGTCCATGCACGTGTGCCCTGTTCGCGTTGTAAACCCGGATCAGGTATCCATTGTTATGATAAACGGATTTATATGTCAACAAATTTTATAAATTCATGTAAGTTTGAATTAAAAATCTACCTGTCTCGTCACTCTTTTAAGTGTTCCAGTATTTTTCAGGAACGGAGAGTTGAGACCAATACGTTTCTTTGCAATACAAAATTCCTCGCTTAGCAATTGTTATTTTGTATGAACTGATGAGTGAAAAACCCTCAATATTACACAGAAATATTCTTCTTTAAAAGGGGGGAAAATTGAACTTATTTCGAACAAGCATTTAAAGACAAAATCCAGTTTATTTGCAGTCAACCTCTAACTAATTTAAAGTACACTATAACCTAGATTTATAACCAACTGTTAATTGTATGTATGAATGTCAGTTAGTCCTTCCTGATATACTTTATTTTAACAAAGAAAATATACAACATGACTATCTAACATGTTGTATATTTTATTTGTCAAAATAAAGTATATCTGGAAGGACACATGCACATGTTAACTTTCTGTCATTTTCATCGTTTTGTGTTGTAATTCAAGAAAATATCGTACTTACGTCCACCGCGCCTTCTGAGACATTGGCCACCCACAAGATTTCTCCATGTCCTGGGCCCCCTATCCTGTGCAGTGTTTTCCAGATCTTTTATTCCTATTCTTTTGGTATCGGGCTCTAGGTCTTCCCGGTGTTGCCTGGCCTACCCCTCTTGCGTTTTCCTTGGGGGTGCCAGGTCAGTGATGTAAGTACGAGACTTGCGTAGATTGTGCGTTATCTATCTCCCCAGTCACTACATCATCTCCTCTTCCACTGGGGCTTGGTTTGTTCTCTGACACAGTTCGGGGTTGTTGATTTTGCCAGGCCATCTGATCTGAAATGCTGCCTATATCTCAATATCTCCGTCACTTGCTTTATGATGCAAAGTTCTTTAGGTACTCCAAGTCGTCAAAATTGCATCGGTATCAGAAATATTTAGAAAGAACGAACCACAATAGTTTTATAGCTTCGTGCATTTGAAAAATATTCAATATTAAACAAGTCTAAATACATTTCTTTAACGATACACCATTCAAATTTTATGAGGTGCTCCACGCAAGGTAGATCGGCCCTTTTGGGACTTAGGTTTTCTTAGTTTTAAGAAATAGAGAAGTATATATGCAATTGATCTTGTACATGTAAAATCTTATTGTTTCCAGGGATATATTTTCATGGATCTGTGAATGTAGATTTAAGATTTTTTATCTAAGAGAATGTGGCCTCCATTCTGTGACAATTATCCAATTGTTCATTTATTTCTCTTTAGCAGACAATTCTGACCCCCCGCGACCCAGTGAAGCTCGGGGATATGAAGACAAAGACAGGCTCATTTACACGGAGGATGAGAAAATCAGCCTCGCTCTGGAACTTTTCTCAGAGTAAGACCTTTTAATTTATTTCCATTGAAATATGTAGCGATGATAATAGATCATTTTAGAATTTTCCCACAATAATGAAATTTTACTGGATGTAAATCTTACATCTGTTTGACTTTCAAATGACGCAGTTTAAAATATCCTTAAATACGCATCTAATCAACAAAAATGTGATTTATGTCATTGTTTGAACTTGTATTCCAAATGTTAACCCACGTCATTTTGTTTATTGGCTAAATCATATTCAATAATAGTAAATTGCATGGCATTTAAGACGGCGTAAACAAATGGATAAGTCTTTTATAGCTTTTGCTGTATGCAAACTGACAGACAGACGCGTACATGGAGTTTTAATGTAGCTGTTATTATAGATCGCTGTACATGTAGTGCTTAATCTATAAAGTATAGAATGTGTATTATTGAATTCAGCAGAGTTTTCTGAGATTTTCATAAATAAATATGCCAACATTGTTTCTTTTGATATTAATTAATGTTTGTCATCAAATATTATGGATCGTGACCTTCTTTCTTTTTCTATTTCTTTCTTTCTTTTCTTCAAGTTTTTACTGAAACGAGAACGACTTTGTAGACTTAAACATGTAGCATTACCCATTCATTTTTTTTTTTGATATGTACCTAGAAGTTTATGTTTGTAAAAATTCTTCTTTTATATTCAGCGTCCCAGAGTGCACTAAAAAAGATCCGGATAATCCTAATAGATTACAGGTAATACAACAATAAACACAACCAAAACAATGTCCATCAAACGGGAAATACTAGTAATTTACTTTAAAGTTAGAAAGGTTCCTTGTACTATTTTGTTTTGTTTTTTTTAGCAGCAAGACATCCGGTATTTACAGTGCCCCGCGGCGGTGGCCGTAGCACATCTAAAGAAATTCATCCGCATGAAGTTTGACCTACCGCCAAAATACATGGTTAGTAACATCCTAGTAATGTTTTTTTTTTTTCTACAAACGTTAATGGTATTTGCAATCAATTGAATTTTGGTTTCGTTAGTTTTTAGTTTTAATTTGCGTTAGATATTGAATTCCTTTCTGTCGTATTAAGTTTTTTGCATAGTTTAAACGTACTTTGGCGTTAGATATTGATTTTTTTTTTCAATAGTATTCCCAAAATGAAGTCAAGATCTGATTTTAGTGTCACTAGGTTTTCTTCAATATAAAATACAAACATCACTAGATAAGTTGATATTTTCATTATTTATGAGATAACGCATCGTTTTTAAACATTTATGGGGATATTAATACGGGTTGGTCACGTGACAAAATTCCATAAAGCCAGGAAAAAATAATTATAATAAATAATAAATATTTTAAAACGTTACCTTATCACTCATATTTGTGATTTATTTGTCACAAATATTGTGTATTTTAGAACTTTGTTAAACCCATCATATCATTATCCATGATATATTTTTTCAAACATCATATAATTTGAATGTGTTGGCTTATGACGTCACTGTGAAATTACGTCGATCTTTTATGACATAACAATGAATTTACTGTCATGCGACGAACCTGTTTTTATATAAGTTTAAATATCTATAAGTTTTTCACATTATAAACTTATCCAGAACCACTTATTTGTATCCATCTTAACTTACCACAAGCTTAATGATTGAAGCGGATTCAAGTTTATAACTGTTCCAATGAAGAGTTTCCCACTCTTTAAATAGACATTTAAAATTTTTTTTGGCTCATGAACCATCGGGTTAGAAAAACCTTTATGAAATCTTCCTTACACTGGTGATTCAAATTTGTTCAAGCCATGACCCCCGAGATTAATATATGGCTACGACAGGAGGTCAGCGTTTGATATATGATCGATTTCAAAAACAGCAGGCCTACTGTAATAATTAGTCATACTGATGTGCAAGCTTCCTCATCGATGTGCTGTTTGTTCAAATCATGATTCGTAAGGCTAAGGTGGGACCACGATGAGGATTAGAAAGTGACAATAATTGATAGAAATATAGTTTTTAAACAGAAAAAAATCCAATGACATATAAACTAGTGCGATATATATTGAAACGTGTATGGATTCAATTTAGCAGTGCTAAATTTTGTTTTTAGAACAGCCTTTACATCTCTACTCATAGTCTGATTTACAATGTATTTATGTATTACTTTGTTTTGTAGATCGATATCTATCATTCGGATGAACCACTCAAGGATTTCTTCACATTAATGGATATTGCTTATATATACACGTGGAGAAGGGTAAGTTTTTCCACTGGTAAAATAATCTCTTTTGATTATATTTATAGTGTTTCGTTACTTGACGATTGAGTTCTTATTTTTAGACAGCACCGCTGAGGCTTCTGTATACTGTTTACGAACAGCGCACGAAAAAACGGAGAAACTCGAATGAAGAAGACGTGGGTCAAACACAAAAACAGCCAAAATTAAAGGAAAAAGACTCCATGAAACTCAAAGAAAGCAAGCCTACCGAAAATCGCGAAAGCGCTTCCCCGGATAGACCACTTGTGGACGAAAATTCATCTCCGGATAAAAACGAATTAAAAACAAAGGAGACAGAGAGAGAGTGCAAGGATAAAATTGAGGAAAAGGTGGACAAGGTCGAGGATAATGATGTCGATGAACAAACATTGTCAGGAAGCAAAAGTTTTAAACCGTCAACGAACAAGCCAAAACTAACTGAAAAAGACTGTGTGAAAAATATATTGTCTGGAAAGAAAACAATACAGAAATCTCTCCATGAACAGGGTGGTAAATTTTTCTCTTCCAATTTCTACAAACGTAAAGCAGCACTTCATCCGGATATTGGTCCTGATTCCCCAATAGATATGACCAAGAAAACACTGAAAAAACACAAGGAATCGAACATTAAGAAGGTGGGAAAAGAGCAAACAATGATGAACGGAAGTCACTTTCCCGGATACGAGTTCACCGACTAAATCGTGCATTGAAGGAAGGATTATTAGTCGCTAGTGCATTTACATAGACACTTCATTGTTATTGCATGTAGTTCAATACTTTTTTTGTTATCGACTTTTTATATGAACTTGCCAATTATCAAGTAAGTTTACACGGCAAATTCAACTTTATAGCTGTTTACGTAAAAAGGGGAATAATTCCTTCTTTTCTATGTAAAGGTGTCGGACACCGATTCAGTGACTCTAGAATTCACTACAATTTTGTCCTGAATTGAGAAAAGTCAATGCATGCCCCATCTTTGCCAACTAATTTCATTCACCTTTTGTACTTAAAGAAGTTTTTTTTTGTCGGTGACCTTACTTATTTGCTAGTATATTATCCTGTTCCGGACATTGTTCTCTGTCGGAGTTTTCTGTTCACGTCTGAATATTTCATTAATCTAAAAGAGGTGCTGTATTGTTTTGATACCTGTATAAAACGAAATATAATTCAACTACTAAGACTAGAAGTTCTTGAACAGTATTTCAATTATAATTCACTGGAAGTTAGTAAATAAAATACATACACCCGTGTTTATTTTGTAGTGGATGCAAAATGAAGAAAACCATTTTAATACAATTAAAGGTACATTTTTTTCCAGATATAAACACATGTTCATGTATGTGAATGTATGTACACGTCAATTTCCCCTCTCGTACTTCTACACTTTATATAAGTATAAATAAATCATGAAATTCTAGTAATTTCGAAAATATGTGATTTAGTGAATTCGTCTGTTTGTTTTATACAGTTTGGGCAGAAATGCTTTCTTTTGTTGTTCAATAATTACACAAACTCAACAAATATCAAAACAAGAAAAGGTTTTATTCAAAATCTGTAATTTTAACAAAGTTTTCTAAGGGAAAAAACTATATGTGATATAAACATTTATATTGAACACCAACAACAGAAAATGAAACACTAAATAACTTTGTCAATAGTTATCTTACTATAACAACTAATGCTAAATCTCGTATCTTTACTGTTCTAATATGTATACACGATTTCAATTGAAAAACAGGAGAGAGAAAGGGAGGGGGCTATACAAGTGGTGATTTTACACATTGCAAAAAAAAAAATATCCACGAGGAGTCCAAATAATATTAGAATATGTCTCTGACTTGTTCAGCCGTAATCTCAGTGTGTAATTCCGAAGTGTGTCAGTTTTATAAAGATATATGGAAGGACAAATTATTCACAGTTACTTTTGTAGCCTCCAAATGTCTATTTCTATACATCTCATGACTACTTGGAGTAATTCAGACTTATTATACATGTCAGAGGACACTGGCATCAAACGCTATCCATCAGTGGTGGGAAATACAGTAAATACATTTAATTGACATAAAAGTGTAAACCCTTAATAAAAAATTAATTCGATAACATTCATTTTAATCGGACACATTTCTTCATCATTAACAGGGGCACGTTACAGGAATATCAATGCTACTGCTGACGGGATTGTGGTGGATTTTGGATATTTTAATGCTTTCTTTTAAGCATTTTAAATTCTTTAAAAAACGATCAGTGTAAGATGTATAGCTTTGTACATGTATACAGAAGATGTGTATCAAACGGTCTAAAAAGTGCACAGAATAAAAGACAGAGAATGATGAACAAACGTTTGTCAGAAATTATCGCATTGGAGTAAAATACGTATGATAGAATTTTAGCTGTATCTACAACTGATTGATGATATATTAATGAAGCTTTACAAAAGGATGTACCATGTGATTAAGATGACGAATTTTTTGTCAAATTACTTTATATATTTATAACATGATAAATATGTTCAAGTCATTGAAGGAAAATAAAAATGGTTCCAAAAATACAGATATATGTAGGACTGATTCAAGAACATAAATCGACATTTATCAAACAGGTGCGTAAATATAAATAAATTTGATTATACTTCTATTTATGCAGCACCAAATTATGGATGACGGTATCTCCAATATGAAGCCGGTATTTTAAAGATGATGCTAAGCTCTATTACTCAATAGAAAAGCTTCACATCACTATACATATACATACATGTACCAGTATGTATTTCACAACACTTCATGTCCAAGTGAACTTTAATAATGTGAGGTCTGATAGGGGAATAACAACACCATTTCACGCTAATTTTCCTTTCCACAGAAACTTTTTTCCGAAGAGCAATATCCCTATGAGTTATATGGCTACCATGTTGTAATGCGATTTTCTTCTTAATATTCTTGATAATTTGCCCAAAGCACAGAGTATTAACACGGTATAAGATGAATGAACAACAACACTGAATACCACCAAGAGCCTTGGTGTTTTTATGGCAGTGGAATATTTATAACAGCACACGCATTGGTTCGTAAAGTTATGACATCGTTGCGGTATAGTGTTCAGAGTTTCTTTCCTTACTGAGCTTGACAACCAATTTTTCACAACGAGGCTTATTCTTTGGCGCCTTTTCACAACGAGACTGACTAATGATCAGTTTTTCACAACGAGGCTGATTCAGAATCAACTTCTCGCCCTGATGCTTTTTATAAGACGAACTTTCAGGACGAGGTACTACCGTATGTCCATTACATATATCGGTGCATTTTGAATGTCCATTTGAAAAAACTCCTTTATGCTTGGAACTGTCGGAAGACTTTCTCCTTTTATGGTGTTTTCCACTCGAAGATTTCTTCGATACATCGCTGACTTTCTCCCTTTTCCATATCGAACTTGAAACCACCGATAGTTTTGGCATACAAAGTGGGGGATTTTCTATCATGACTGGACTGCGGAAGGGTACATGCTCCACTCGAGTGGAAGTGACCTCATTCTGGTCGGGAGACAATAGTGAGTATCTTTCTGGGGTATTGTTTTCATTTGCATAACCCGAGTCTACTTCCATGCTCTCCTCGCTCTCTTCCAAACCATCCACAACGTATGTGTATTTCTCCACAACTTCCTCTTCCTCTACATTCTGAACAACAGAAGACTTAATCTCCTGGTAGCACCCAGTCTCTGTTGTTTTGGGTTTCGGTTTGGACAGATCCATTACTCCATCTGTCCATATTTCATCCGTGTCGAAGTCCGTTTGGGGACAAGAAGATGTGTGTGCAATGGAATTATTAAAAGGACTGTATGATAGAAAGCTGGAATCACTAAAACCTATGGAGTCGGGATATCTGGGATATCTAGAACTATTTAAGGAATGGAATGGAGTAGATGTTTTGGGGGACTTTGAACGATGAGTACTGTTACGATATGAGATGGGCGGCAAAAGTCTGAACATGTCTGGCTGAGGAATTTTGATTGTCGCTGACGATGGCCGACTATCATTGGAACAAACACTGTCATTTTCGTTTGGGCTACTCTCATATATCTGTATTCCAGAATCATCGGAACTTTTCTCGGATTTTGAGTCCTCGATAACAATTTGTAATGCCCCCTCTTCATCTTCAATAGTAATGCTATTGTTCTCAGGGCTTGGACATTCTCGAACGAAATTCGATTCTTCTTTTTCTTTAGTTTCAGACGGATTGTCTAATTCAGGAACAACTGATTCTCTTTGACTGTCAGAATCCCTTTCATTGATTTCTAACGACACAACAACGTCCTCTTTCTTTTGGATCTTCTCTTGTACATAATTTTTCTCCTCATTCTCTGTTTCATTCTTTGGCTTTCCAACATCTTCATCTGCTTCTATTTTCTCTTCCACTTGTTCTTTATCTGGATTAACATCAATAGTGACATCTTTTTCGGCATTGCACACCACGATGTCGACAGTGTTTTCAACCATGTCAGTCGTGTTTTCAACCATGTCAGTCGTGTTTTCAACCAGGTCGGCAGTGTTTTCAACTGCATTGGTCTTGCTTTCAACTGCATCATTGTTTTCAACATCATCGGAAGTGTTTTCAACCACATCGGAAGTGTTTTCAACCATGTTGGAAGTGTTTTCAACCACTTCAGCAGTGTTTACAACTACGCTGGCAGTGTTTTCAACCACGTCGGCAGTGCTTTCCGCCAACTGTACAGAGTCTGCCGCCTGTGACGAGTCGGACGGTTTTTCGTCACCTTGGGAAAGTTGCTGATTGTCATTCGCCATGGAAGCTTGAAAACTTTGCGAGGTCACGTGGGTCTGATCCGGGTTATTTTCGTCTTGATTTGAAGTCTCGTCTTCGATCCCCGAGTCATCGTTACCAGGCGATACAGCACCCGTAGATATACTCCTCTTAAATTTCTTATTTGTGTTCTCGTAGAATGCATAATTTAGCACCATCACCTTTTCCTGATTTTAAAAAAAGAACACTTAGTCAATGAAATATATAACCCTATACTATGTTGTAGGGAAAAACAATGAGGTATTAGAATAGTCAGTGAATGGTCCATTAATCACTACCTACCCTTTTCCATCCAGTGATATAGCTAACGTCTACTAAACTGTACTCATCTTTCAGCACCTCGTCCATGTGAAACATCTCAACCTAGAGTAGAATTTGCCTTCTTTATCCAACTAATAGATAATTAACCGAATTCATATACTTAACAGTGCTTAGACAAAACTTTAGTTGTAAACAGCATTTCATTCATGTTTATTTTCTAAACAGCAATGTTTACTTTAATTTTTTTTTCAGTATGGTTATTAAGGATTCACTGTCTATAAATATTGTCTTCCCACAAATTTTTATTAAAATAGAATATTTGGTGGGAAGACAGTATTTTGAAAGGTTTTCCATTATTTAGGTGTTATCACGTGGTTTTCGGGCGAGCACTCTAAATCCACTGTTCAAAATTACGTCTTTGGATTTAGTGAATAAAATTCAATGAGGAACAAAAAAAAACCTCTTATGAACATTTAACTATGTAAACAAATTTCCTTCACTTCAAACTTAAAGTGGATCACACGTGTATTATTACATAACGCGCTATCATATATAAGGAATTATTTTATGACGGATATGAGATTACAAGGTTGAAAGCTGTCGATAACACAAAATTAAAATCCAACATCAAAAAACGTGGGGTCGTGATTTTTAAAGTTTGTTCATTCATATTAGTTTCCTGGTCTTTCTAAATCCAGATGTATGAAAAAATGTGCCCTTATTAAATGTTTTCTTCCCTTTTTCGGTTCTGATCAAATATAAAAATATTGATTTTGTATGAAGTAACCAATAATGAAATAAAATTATTGATATGTGATTACTTCAATAACAAAATACCAAGAATGTTAACCTGAATATCAAAAAAAAAAATATTCTAGAATACTTTATCATGGTGATTTTTTTTTATCTTGGTGTGAAACATTACCTGTGACAATAATCTATATATAATTAGAGGACCAACCCGGTTATACTACAATTTCTCCCCCCCCCCCCCCCGTTTTTTTTTTTTTTTTTTGTGAATTAAGATTCAAATTTAAAAAAAAATTCTCCGATGGTTCATTTTATTTATTTCACCTTGGTGGCTGGAGCGTTTTTAATTTTTGCACTTACCTCACTAGTGTAAACTTACCCCCCCCCCGTCCCCTCCCCCCGTCGGTGTATCAGTATAACCGGTCTCACCTCTAACCTATCTGACAGGGAGTATTTTAGTCGCAGAAACTTCTTCAGGTGGTAAACGCTCATCCTGGCGGGACACAGCAGGTACCTCTTGTCCTGAAACTAAGAAGGTCAGAAGGTCAAAGTTCAACAGCATAATGGTCAAATTCAATTTTTTATATCACTGTCATGTTGTAAATTTTGAATTTACCGGATGGAAGTACTGCCATTCAAGATTTACAACATAAATAACACTCAGATTAATTTTCTTTTATCGTCATTCATAATCTACAAATATTTCTTTCCCTATTTTATGACTTTCTCGACAATGTGATACGTGAATGCTCACAAACACAGGATATACTAACGATAGTAGAAGACATTAAATCCAGAGTTATGTTTAATACTTGTGACAAATTACATTGGATTTGCTTCCTACACCTCTAATTTATCATCTGGATGGCCCCTTAATCTAATATAACTGTGTTCCTAATTGACAGGTCAAGCCCGCTTCTTCCTGTGCTTTTTTTTCCTTCTTACAAAACGGCTGTTTTCCCCCTAATCTCTTTAAGATTACGTAACATCTTACTTGATTCCTTCAAATAACATTAACAAAATCTCATTACAAACAAGTCGAGTTTCGAGACGCATCGTGTGACGAACAAATATAAAGGTTTCGTACGAAATTAAGCACAACGTCCTTCATCTCTCTCGTAAACGTATTTTCTATGTACCTTCTGGGTATTGGATAGTTTAAAACACATTTCAGTCACACATAAATACCTCATAATCTTCTGAACTTCTTTCATCTAATTTCCTGCAAAATCAATATGTTAAAACATATATACATGCGCATTTACGTACTTACAGGTAAAACTATAGGAAATTATATAAATGATATATATTTATTCACATATCGTTTTATTGACACAGATATACACCTCCAAGACGTCAATTTCTTGTCTGCATGATATTTTTTTTAAAATGGAAGGACTTTGGACTGCTGTGTACAGCTTTTTTCTGTGTTTGCACGGCAGTCATTGGCACGGATTACCACAGCAGTGAAATTAACTTCAGTAATTAATACACATATATTTCTGATATCAAAAGAGACAAAAAGGGTCGATTAAAAATGGGACGATTAAACAAAATATCAAGTGCGAAATGGGAGCTTTAGAACCAGTAATTATATCTATCAGATGGTTTAGATTTGAGCAACAATTTGTATTGTGACGTCTTACCGCCCACGAATTGGCTTTAGAAACTGTATACACGACTATAATAAGCAATCTAATTCAAATTCGATCTTTGTTTTGCATACGTAAATCGCTACAGAAAGGAATTAAATGAGCAGATCAAAGATTTCATTTTAATGGAATTGAAATTGTAGAGGTTATTTCTAGGATAGAAGGCGATGTTACACAATAAAGATATTTCTACAAATGCACTCTTAAAATTTTCTACGCGTACTCACGAACTACATACAAGTAGAGAATTCATTAACTTAAGATACAATAAGCAATACAGCATGGCTGTAATGTATTTCAGTTTGGAACAGGATTTAGTTAAAAGGTTATACATTGTACAGTGAAAATTCTCGGTAAACGGGGCCTCTATACATAATACATGTCTATAAATCTTGATATCGTATTTTGTATATTCATTCATTAGCTGTAATCACAAATCAAGCCAAAGAAAAGTGCAATTTTTACTTTTGCATCAAATACATAAAATCATGATCAGATTGAGAACTATAAATGCCCCAATTGCAAAGAATATAATAGACTATATTAGAGTATTACAGTAAATTGTTTTAGCTTCAGATTTTAATTTATATTGAACTTACATGGTGCATAACCTCATACATAAACTTATCTTCTCATCTGGTGAGAAAATAATCCGCCCCGGCCTGTTCTGTAATTCTGAAATATTCAAAGAAAATCGGTATACAGATAACACACACACATACAACTCACTAAGCAAAGCTTGTTCTCTTTATTCTAAACAAAGGAACTGGTGATTTATTGAAATTCATTAATCTTTTTTAATCATTATTGTCGAGATTCATATAGCTCAAGGTTGTTATATTAATATTCTCAGCCTCTGATAAAAAAAAAAAAAATAAGATAGAAATGCAATATTCAATATTACTCAAGAGAGAATATTAATGAAAAAGACGGTGAGAGAAATTGCCACAAAAAGGTGTAACTATGTAATTGAAGTCGGGAAATGTGGTAGCAATTAATGATAAATGGCGCGTATACTTTACACCTTTTTTAATGCTTACGGAGGCTAACTCAGGTTGCACAATCCGGTCACTAATCTAAATTGACATTTAAAAAAATATACGTTTTCTTGTCTTACTGCGCATATTGAACATAAGTCGTTATGCCTATATACCTTTAAATATTTATATGCAAAAAGTCGAGGATGTGAACAAATATAAGAATAAACACTTGCATAATAAGCATCAGTTGATACACATACCATATTCATATCTACGGAACATTTACCTTAAATGATAATGTATTGATTTTTATATGGTCGGTTATCAAATACAAATAATGCATACAATGGTATTTTTTATCACATGTTTAATACCATTGAACTTCAAATTATATCCAAATTGCAGATTCTAACTTAATAGTATTACACTGCGTAATTTTTTTTAAAGCGTTTTAGCAATTTTTCAAAATACATGAATTTAATGAAATACATGTAGAATGATTTTTTTATGCTCAAATCCACGAATTAAAATATTGACATGTTCTAAACGATCTTCAAAAAGTTAATCATGTTAATGTGTAATTAAAGTATTCTTACTATATTTTCAATATAATAAAATAATCAAGGTTGTTAAAAAATATCAATATCTTAAGCTTTTTACTTTAATATAACAAGACTACATAACAAAGTTGCCTCTAGTAAGTAATACTGATATCAACAAAGAACAGAATTTGAAACCAGAAAATCATTATTCTCATTCAGGCCGGGTCATGCTACAGTTTTAGTTCAATGCTTTTCGTTGCTTGTTGAACACATACACCACAGCAGCATATTTTTTAATATTCTCGAATCTTGACGATGACAGTATGCGTTTAAAATAAAATTTGTAAAATGGTAATATACTTATCTAGATTTTTAATTTCAAAGTTTTTAATTTCTATTTTAATTTCATAAAACATAAAACCTTCCTTCCCTAGCACCAAAATTTTCCCGTGATCTTAATTTAAACCCATCATCGGAATTGATGTAGTTGTGGCCATTTTTAGACTATATTGATCTCCTTTAGAAGAGCTCCATATGAAGATATAGAAAATGATCAAATTTTAAAACTAAAATTTTTGAAATTTTTCTTTGCCAAATGATAGTTGACAGCTTAAGATATCATATCTAAAAAATTAAGTTAAATCTGGTGGTTAATTTGTTGACCCCCCAGCCTCCTTAAACCAGTTAAACTTGTAAAGTCGTCGGAATTCTGAAATTCAAAATGTTTAGATAGTATGATTTAACACCACCATCCCGTTCCATTCCGAACTTTGTAGCTTAATACATTCTAATAATTAAATATTAAATATCCCATGATCTACAAATGCAGCTGTAAATCTGTTTCAATTTTCGACCACACGTTCTGACCAAACTCCATCAACACGAGCCCGATGTTAAATGATACAGACAGTTTCGTGTTTTGATACATACCATCTGTTTGGTCGCTGTAATATTTTCTACGTCTTCTCATCTCTTCTGTAAATAAAATATAATCATAGTAAACAGAGGGTCATAAATCTACGTATTGCCCCCAAATTATTTACCAGTTCGAATTTGTTCTTCAATACATCTAAAACGTTCGACATGTACACTGTGTATTACTGTAATCCCATCTGACATAGAGCTGACAGCTGTTGAACTGCATGATTGCAATCCTTTTCCCTCGGCACATACTTTACTCGCAGATAGCATTACGCACGCACAACTATACAACTTGATAAATGTTGTAACATTGAATTATATACTAATATTATAAAGTGTGTTTACAAAATTTAAAACGACAACCATTATACGATGTATTACAAATAACATTTATTTATCATTTAAAAAAAGAAGAAGAAAAGATCAGAATTAGCTCCAATAGTGGTAAATGGTAACTGTATGTATTTGTATGCATCTACGCCTCAAATATTAACTTTTTAAAAACCCTTTTCTTCCATTTTTATAGCAAATAATTAAAATATCAAAATGCAAACAATTTTCATTTAAGAAAAAAAAAAAGACGAGAATTTTTTTGTACATAGTATTTCCGTATATCATATCGCAATGTCACAGTAATTTCGATCAGGAAGAAAGAGTTTATCATAAGAACCCCGATCAGGAAGAATAAAATATAAACATTTTTTTTTACATAACTTTCTAGTGCACCTGTACTTACCCATAAATAGACCAGGGACGACTTTATAAACCACGTCCTGAAGAGTTTTGTCTGGCCTGAAAATTGTGAGATTAAAATTCCTAGCAAGTCGTACAAGATTTACTTAAGTGCATTCATATGAAATATCAAGTCAAAAATTATAATCTACCATTTATAGTAACCAAAGACTTGACTTTTTTCTTTTGCTAACAGCCAGGGTTACCAACATACATTTTGTATTTGTTTTAAATTCGACTTTCAGTGTGTGCAATGTTTTTAAAATATATATATATATATATATATATATATATATATATATATATATATATATATATATATATATATATATATATATATATATATATATATATACTATTTTCGACACGGCAAAACAAAGCAACAAGTACCAAGACAGTGTTTATATCTTGGTTCTGGTAGGAAAAGGAGGGAGGGGTATTTTGATGGAGCTAGGCTTCGTATAAATCTAAAATACCAGATTATGAGGCTTCGCATCAAAAGGCCAGAGAAAACTAGAGATTCTATGAACACTGAGCTCACAAATTATATATACCCCCGCTTCCATATGAACATAATGACAGTGTCCATGTTTTGCTACAAGGAACTCTAAATATCTGCATGTACGATGAAAATGTAAGAAAATAAAAATAAAAGGTACACGATGGCAAAATGCAATAAAGATTCTGTAAAAGTCAAAAAATTAAATTCTATTCATTTGTATAGGCGGATTTGCAGATAACAAACGGGTATCCGCATTATAATAGAAAGGATGGCAGTGTCCATGTTTTGCTATGGGAAACCCCAAATATTTATATCCAATCGAAACAAAAATAGGAGTGGCTCAATGGCAGTGTGTAATAAAGCTTCTGTGAAAAAACTCACAAAATTTTATTAGTGGTATTGGGATAGTCGAGGACAAGAGATGGGTACCCTGAATACTATAGAAAAAATGGCAGCATCCATGTTTTACCATGGGAGACCAAACATATCTGTCCGATGGAAATGCAAAAATCCACTAAGTAATAAAGATTCTGCGAAAGTCTTCTTAAATTTTCGGAAGGACGCACGGACCGACTCCCCCCCCCCCCCCTCCCCCCATCACACGCTTTTCAAACGGGGATATAAAAGTCTTTGATACTAGTAAACACCTTTCTTTGTTTGTTTTTTTTTACGTGAATAATTCAAAAATGTAAAAAAGTAATTTAATGGTACAATTTGAATAAACATGTTTAAAGTTAAACATACCACCATAACATTTTTTCTCAATTTCAAGATTAGATGGTACATTTTCCTACAAAATATATTTTGTTATATTGAAAAGAATGCCGAGTATAACTAAAATAAATATGCCCCTTGATCATAATGAGGCCATTGACTGTTTAATGGTGGAACGATCTGGGCGGCCGATGTCTTTTCGATGACAGATTAATGATAAAGATTTAAGCCAGATTCACCCTACAAAGATAAAACTCCTAATTAACCCTACGTTTTCTTTTTGGACAGCACCAGAAAGTTTCCATTTCATATTCTATCGATTTAGAATTTTGTAACCTTTTTATATTTCATCACAGAATTTTGTAACTTTTTTCCTTTTTTTTTTTCAATTTCATCACACATTTTAAATATGGTTATTCACTAAATGATATTATCATTTAGAAAAGCTGATTTGATTTGAACATATTTTGTAGTATAAATGTTATAGAAACGGTTCGAACACTATTTACTCTTGTGATTTCCTTTGAAATACTTTATCAAACTATAAATTATGAAATAGGAATACATATATATCAGTATACAAGTACATTTGTCATCAACCAAATTACGCTGCTATATATAAACTACTGAAATAATAACTTCATCATTCATCGAGAAATGGGTCAAAAATACTTTCCTCATCTTTTTGGACACCTTATGAGCTAAAAATGCAAGTTTCATTAATCCATTTGTTAAATTTTTCAATCCGCAGTTGGAAATAAATTAAGTCGTTCAATTAAACCAGTGTCACTTTAATGTAAATTATTTCTTAATATTTACATTTAGCAAATGTTTTCCCTTTAATATGTAACATTTTTTGAGCAAGGCGCACTTTTTGTATATAAACAGGTTCGTCACCTGACCATAAATTCATTGTTTAGTCACAAACGATTGACGTAATTTCATAGTGACGTCATAAGTGATCGACGTGTTCTACCCCTTTGAGGTTTGAAAAAAAAACTAAAAGTACCCAAATATTTGTTGAAAATCAGTTACAAATGTACATAATTAAGAAATAAGGAATCATTCTAAAACTTTATCAGGATGTTAATACGGGTAATCTACCATAAAGTCCTTCTTATTTACACCGATAAGTTTTAAAACGATACCTTATTTCTTTAATAAAACACGTACACAAACAATGTTAAAGTATACCACTCCATCCCTTCCACAAATAAACACGTTAAAATAAGGAATATATCGAATGGCATGACCGTTAACCTCTCCCCCCAATTACGCAGTTATAGGATAGAGTTACTGGTCGGTCGGTTGGTAGACAATATCGGGGCGCTTATTGATATTGTTAAGTCTAACACAGTCAGACAATGATTACAATAAAATTGGTTGTCAAGTTTGTTTTCCAATCTAATCAGTCTCAATAATCTCTTAAATTCCCATTACTAAATAATGATTTCGTCGACAAATATATTTTACCTTTCGTGTCCTTAGATTTTTCTCCTCAAGGAGGGCTTTATTCGTCTGATTGCTTATTTTATTTTCATTTTTTTTTAACAATTAAATTCACACTATACACTTAATTAATACGTTTCAGATTCCAAGGGAAATATTTTACAGTAGATGAAAAATCTGTTTTTCTTCGTTTGATAAAAAATATTTACATTTACGCCATTTGAACTTCCCCTTAGGGTCAATGTCTTGCAGTGATTGATTATCTATGTCCGTAAATACTCCCTTTACGCCTTTAAAACTGGTAAACCCAGAATCACTACTTGAAAACTACAGGTACTCCAAATACCTTTTTTCTTCATTTTTATATTCCAGTTATTTAAGATTTTCCTAAAAAAAAATATCCAACAAAACTATCAATCCCTCGCCTGATTTTATTGCATTTCAAAATAAAATTACCAAAGTAATTCAATTTGTTTTATAAAATAACTTGATTTTATACATTAACCTACCAATACACCACCTCTGTTAGCTAAATAGTTCGATCCGCCTCTCTGACAATTTTATCTTAGAAAGTGAAAATATCAGAGCTTTTAGTTGCAACATACAGAAAAGGCTACGTCATTAACAACAATTTTACTGATAGCTGGACATTTGCACGTCGTTGACAAACCTGGAGATGACTCTAGTCTTAGAACCTCTTTATTTTACTAAAGAAAATATTGTTTGCAAACACTGGTGGTTATGGACAGGACCCCTTATCCTATCTCGGAACAGTTACACGTACACCTTGGGGAATTATCTTTTTTTTGATCATTTGTTTTTCTAACACACGTTTTTAATTTGCTTAATCTGAAAAATCCTAAAAACAACTTTCAACAAACATTTTAATAACCAAAAATTATAAAACCGAAACATACAATTTTTATTACAATTATTCAAATATATATATATATATTTTTTTTTTTTTCGGAGGGTGGGGTGGGGTGGAGGTGGGGGTCTGTCAGCAATAACCTGTGCATGCAGTAAGTATATCTAATAACATACCTTAGGTTTTGATGTGGGTACTTTTTGTGAACCAAACATTCGCAAACAGGACAGTAGTTGCTGGTATGTAGATAATGTACAATGCACGTCCGGCAAACTAGTGAAAAGGGGAAAAAATTAAAACATATATTCATCATCTTGTTCGTGTTTTAATTTTCTTTTCTTTTTTTCTTTTTGTGTGTGTCTCACTTAAGTTCCTTAAAACCTGGACGTATTATCAATTTCTTTGATAAAAATAAAACTACTTTGAAACATTAATTAAATCCCCCGTTTTGAAGGCGGCAAAAAATTTATGATGAGAAGTAAATCGTTAAAATAATTTTTCGTAATGAAAAATTGATCAGCTGCATTCTTTTTTTCCTCCGCAAAAGCAATCAAAACTATTATATGGTTTATTAAATTATGAAAGCAATTTAAGACTCATAAAATTAGCTATCATTCATATTTAATGTAGAACTCACACGAGTGAAGACACTCAATTATCGTGGTGGCATCAATCAGGTATCCCCCACACAGCATGCACGTCAGATACGGATTCAGCTCGTGCACTGGCATCCGGGCACTTTTCATCATGGCGACTGGAAAGAAAATCCAAAATGGCATGAAATCGTATCGTACAATTACCTCGTAATCCGGCAATTCAAACAAAGCCAATCAGGCAAAAGTAATGGCCTCATAATGGCATAAAGTGATTTAGTCCATAAAAGATAAAAGGTAATTATAGGAACGTCCGAAAAATCCACCAAGTAGAAATGGAAGATCGATTTTTTTTTTCCAAAAAGGCGGGAAACAATTTGTCAGAGTTTGAGCTGCAGTAGATAAAGATGAGATTAGCTCAGCTGCTACTTCGATAAAAACCGTCATCAAAATCTCCTGAACCACAAGTCATCATCCATTTAGGGGGATAATGAACCAACGCCGCATCTCTGCGAGTTAGAATCAGCCCTAAATTAAATCGAATTTACCCCTTATCTCCCTGTCCAAAACGCGGCGGAGATCCATCCATAAATGTGACGGACATACTTCTCCCGCCTTCCAGGACTAATTAAAGAAAGGAGTAAAATCGGGAGTAAAACTCTGCGGCATAATATGGTTTTAATGTGAAGCTAAATGAACTTGGCTCTCTAATTATTCCCCATACAACAATCAACATCGTATCAATATAGGCCAACACAGGGGGTGAATTTCTAAGACTTTCAGGAAATTACGCATTAATGAACTTCACAGTTCTACTTCACATATAGGATAAATATCTTAAAAGACAGTTTTGAATCTCTCTTATAAAATATCAACTCTCTCTCTCTCTCTCGTTGGCTCAGGTGCATTTGTCCCCGGAGCTTACTGCTTTCGCTCTATCTCAACAAAAGATCTTGGTTGCTCCTAGCAGGTTTTATTTAATATTTAGTGATTTCTGTACTTAAACCCCGATTTAATCACATACTTTTCACATGTCTTCGGTGTCCTATAAATGTATACCTAAACAAGTCTTCATGGCTATTTTGTTTTTCCGTTTTTATATGATATTGCATTTCGAGCAGACCATTTGCCGTCAAGAATACGGAACTAATTGCAAGAGAGAGGCCTCGAGAAAATGAATGAATATAAATGAATTGGGTCCCAGTTCATTGAATTGCTGACTTTTCACTTGCCATCAATACAAATCTAATAAATAAATACAAATTGGTAGCGCAAAATTTGCATAAAAAGTAATAAAATAACGGAAAGATAGGAACTAGAGAATGAAAATGTAACATTTAATCAGCTGTTTCGTGGCTGTATGAGGCTTCACTTGTCTTGTTCCTTGTATTACTTCAGATCGATTTTCACTTTTTATGTACACACAGATATTGCCTTGAACTTAGATGGATGCACATCGAAGTATCTATATATTTGTATGATGCTCATAATTATCTTTTTCAATTCCTTGAGCACTATCATGTGACTAAATCTATGCTGAAATGACTTTCAAATATGATCTTCATTCTTAAGTGCTGACATTTTAAAATTTAATGGCTAAAGAAAATATCACGTATCATTTGTCAACATTTTTAACCAGATGTCGACCTTACATTATTTGCTCCTGAAAGTAAATACAAGGACACGAATTTAAAGAATCACTCGAAATATTTCAAAACAAGGAAGACTTTAAATTATTTATATCATTGACAAGTGTATTTTTAAGATATTTATAACCTACATGTAGTTACAGTAAAACTAGGTCCTTTTTAATTCTTTAGCGAGTGACACACTTAACTTCTTCGTTTTTCACCACAAGATTCCCCGTAAGATAAAAAAAAAAGTGCGCGGGAACTTGTTGAAAGAAGTTTGATTGAGCATAAAAAACAATGATTAAGGCACGTGGCCGTTCATATGTCTCTCGTGATCGTAGATCGATGCTTTAGATGCTACAGTGAGTTTCTATTACAATGTTAGAAATCTTGTTGTCACTCTTCAATATTCATTAATATGTAGATCTACAATGTATATATATTTCACTTATTTTTTTTCATTTTTTTTAAATATTTTTTTTTAATCATTTTTATTTTTAAATGATATTGATATTACGTAGAAACCCCTACATATTGTGGTATACTGTATATAAGAAAAAACCCAACTTTATCAGATTTATTAACGACAAACTTTAATTAGTTTATAATTCAATATTCAGTCCTTAATTATTTCCTTGCTTTTATTACTGCATTTTCAATTTAACAAATACCTTAAATTGATTAGGGGATATTTCAATTTACACTTTGAAATTATCCCAAAAATTATTTCCTTGTGTGATGCCGCTCGTAGAGTGCTTTAACAACTTTACCTATCACAATATTTAATATTTATTTAAAGAAATAAATAACAGTTACACGTAACCATTTAGGGGTACACACTATACAGTAAATCATGCAATCACACGTTCACATGCAAATGGGTCCACATATCCTCTCTTTGCTGTGCAAATTTTTGGCCGCATGGAATTCAATAACCTTGATCCATTTGAAAACAATGACAAACCATTAAACTTGCAGAATATAGCTTGCATTTTCATGCACACCACAGGATCAAGGCTAGGAGGGAAGCTTCGTAATAAATTCACACTTTTGTATAGCAGACTACACACGTAGAGCGCGGCCATATTTGTTGACTTAAAACCACAACACAACGTTAAAGCGCGGACCTCTCGACCGCAAAAATGCGTCTTAATGGACAATATGTGGACACGTAACACATCAAAAACTATAATCAAGCTTAAAATAATGTATACTTACCAAAAATAAAATTTATTCACGCCAACAGTTTACGGATGTACACCAAAATCTGGGGCCTACAGCATTTGGTTTAGCAGACGTCGTTTGCCGGGTCGATATTTGTATACATGCTCATTTCATCAGGTCACATGATCATAGTGACTGGCGAAGTGTAACATGAAATATTTGGATTTGAATTAACCACACATTTTTTGTAATTTTTATCCAGTAAATCAAATAATTTTTAGATAAAATTTACATGACAGATTTATAGTTTATAATTAAAACCATAAAAAAAATTATGAAGATTTTATCAGACAATTGTTTGCATTGTATATATGTCTATGAATTTGTCTTTTAAAAAAGATTAAACTTTTACACAGATAAATTAAAAAAAGATTTTTTAAAAAAAGATTAAACGTTTTACATATAAAAATAATTCTGATTCATTCTTTGAAAATTAAGTGAATTATAAAAGAGAAAACTTAAATTGTTGCAAATTTTCAGACAGGCCAGTGAAAAATTATACGTTAAATTTACACTAAATTTTAGCTTTTTAGATATTAGCTTTAAATCTTTTTTTGACATGTGAACTGGTAGCAAAATAATAATAATAATAATAAAATAAAAATAATATAATAATATATTTTTTTTAACCTGAATCAATATAATTAAAACTATACCTATTACATAATGATATGACGATCTCAAAACACAAGCAAAAAAAAAAAAAAAAAAAAAAAAAAAAAAAAAAAAAAAAAAAAAATCGCAAATTTGTGAACCGAATATGATTTAAATAAACAACAAAACAAACCCCCCCCCCCCCAAAAAAAAAAAAAATCAAGAATTTCTTAGTAAATCAATTATTTCGTGCAGTGAATAAGAAGCGTGTTAATTTAACCTGGTCATGCACTTAGGGGAAATTGTTTATCAAAGTCGACTCAGATACTAAATATGTGAAAATCCCCTGTTCAATAGAAAGTTTAGCTCTAGTTAATAACAGTAATAAAAAAAATCAGACCATTATTCCAGAATTTATTTATCATATCTAAAGTGTTCAAATGCTGTAAATCGTTATGTTTGTACACGCATGTATACAATTTATATTAATTATGTTTTGTATATATAAAAGAGTTCATGCAAAACTACACAGTTGAATGCACGCACACCGCTGCAAAATTGGAAATGATTTAGAAAAATGTATGTACATAAAATGAAGAAAGTTTAAATCCAATTTACGATATAACATTGTAGGAATAATAATAAAATTTAAAAATCGTTCACTTAATTAAAATTCATGCACTGCTTGACTTTCCACCATTTTTTTGAATTTGAAAGAATTCATCATAAATATATATAAATATTTTAAATTAAACTATTTTATTACACGTCAAATAATAAAAAAAAATGAATCTGCAGGATAATAAAAGAGATAGTAACAATATTTTACTTTATCATAAATAAAGAATGAATCGGCATGATAATATAAAGATAGTGACAATATACGATATTATCCTGTTGTGAATTTTGAACTTATATGGTGGAGTAAAAACAAAATTTACGACACTCGAGGGATAAAAAAAATAGCAATTCAATTCTGAATTTATCTCTAACCACGATCAGTGAATTCAAATGTTTAAAAAAAAAGAAAGAAAAAAATAGAATACAAGTTTGACAATATATCAATTATTGTACTATAATAAATGAAAGCAAAAATCGAGAAAAAGAAATCTGTTGCAATAGCAATGCATGCCTAATCTTAGTAAAAGAATTTAAATTATTACCGAGTATATTTGACAGAGCTATGTTTAGCAATCAGAGAAAATGTGGGATTTTAACATTATAGACGTCATATTACAAAACTCGTACATTTAGTTTTACAGTTTAGCGTATAGGGTTTTTCGTGAACATGGTATCTTATAAAACCAACGATAATCCAAACAGGTATTGAAAGCATTTTAACATTAGAGAATTAAGGAGGCACAAAGATGGGATTAGAAGGGTGTGTCGAGAGAGAGGGGGGATTAATTAAATACCTTGACAACTTAAGAAATATTACATCTCCAACCCCAAGTCGAAATCCGAGTTCATGACAGTGTGTCGGAGAGGGAGGGAGGGAGGGGGGAAGGTAACTAAATTTCTAGGTCTGTCTGATTTTAACATCTAAGCCAAATCTGTATATTCATTCACGTCTATTGCTTGAATCTCACGTCTGCATGGGTCTTATAACATTCACAAAAGCCACATCATTCACCAAAAATGCCTGTGTTGTCTAGAAACAGAGAAAAAATAATCAAACAGGGAACAAACATGACATTTACAGGGTGAAAGTAAAATGGAACAGATGAAAAATAGGTTAATAGATGAAAGCAATCATAGTCAAAGGTCAATGTTCTTTGTGTTTAGACTTAGTCAATTCTTCTAACTTTTTTATGATTTGATTTTGCAGTAGTTATGTTATTAAATTTAAGTGTTAAAAGCATAATGTTTCTATCATAAATCGGATTTCTTCATGCTTCAATTACGTAATGAATTGACTAAGTTGAAGCCCCTATGATATTTGTTATGTATACCTTTCCAGAAACTCCCAGATAATAATGTGAAATAAAATACGATAAATGATTAGTTTTTTCCTCACTTTAATCTATGTGCATTAATTTCTTAACTACAAAGTGATAAAACAACTGCCACGTGATTTTACCTTTAAGTAACTTGTATAACTTTACGAATAAGGCGAAAACTTGACTATCAAATATACTTATATTTTGTATACGTTTATTAAGAATTTTGAAAGGTTAAATAAAATAAACTAAATCAAACAATACTTATCAACAAATCAAAGAAATAAAGCAACTGCCACTTGATTTTGCTTTTAACTAACCTGTAACTGTACTGGATTATAAAATATATACTTATATTTTGAATACGGTATATTTAGAATTTTGAAAGGTTAAAGTAAAATAATCTAAATAAAAAAATAGTTTATCAACAATCCAAATTTTCACATAAACACAACGATATCCTGGTAGACACGAATTTTTTCATGGGCCCCAATGAAACAATTGCAAGGATAACGATTCAAAATGCAATAATTATCCGTTGTCACGCGTGATTTTGCAGAGATCGACGAACGTCAAACGTCATAATTTCCTTTGCGCCCAAGACTAGCAGTTTAATGATAGCAACAAATTACAAAACTTGAAAGGCGCTGTAACACAGTAGTTTATTTTAACAAAATTTCTAACACATAAAATGATCTGTATGCTAGAAAAAAGAGTTTTACCCATTCCATTCAATTCACGTTTTATGAAATGTTTTAAATCAGGCTAGATCGAATAGATATCCCACTCTGTTATGTAAATAGTTAAATGAAATGTCAATATAATTACTTAATTCTAATGTTGTTATATATTTCATCTAGATCAATAGAACATGCAAGAAGGACACAGGTTGTCCTTGATTCACGTCACTACAAATTATTTAGCTATTGACTTAATGCAGTCTCGCAAGTAATCATAAACAAATTCACATTTGGTTTTACACTATTATAGCATCTATAGTGTCTATAATTTGTTGAAAATTGATAGGAAATACAGTGAAACCTGTCTAATACGACATGCACTGGGAGACCGATTTTGTGTCGGATTAGACGGGGTATTGGATTGCACAGTGTAAAAATACATGGAATATAGTTAAATGGGAACAAATTTTAACGTCGGAATTCACAGTGTGTCGGATTAGACAGTTTTCACTGTAATGTCTTTTAATAAAACTTTATTACAAGTGATGTAATTTTTGTTTCTCTTTGTGGATTTATGCAGATACATATAAAAGAAAATGTTCCTCAAATATATAAATCAGACTGGGCATGACCCATCCCACTCACCCAGACATGTTCGTGTTTTACTGCACACACAGGTTTTAAAGGAATTTTAAAACGGCTGTATCAGGTCATTTAAAGAAAGTATCTATAATTGGTAGACCATACAAATGAGTAGATTATTTGAATTTTCATTCTACATTTTGTCAGTTTCTGTTAATCTCGATTGAAATTTTTTTGACGCAAACTTATGCTAAGTTTTCGTGTTACATGTACAGTGTATACACAGGTACTTGGGGACGGGAACCCCCCCCCCCCTTGCGTTCCGTACCCCAAGGGTTCTCCGACTTTTTTATATAAAATATTTTAAAGGGAGAACTTTTAGTATATCTGAACTGAACTGAATTTATTAATCTCTTCACAATTTTACAACTGTATACAGAGATATAAATGTATAAACAATGTATGGTGACAAATAAAAACAAATTTTAGCATGCGTGAGTATGAGGATAGACAAATAGTACAATTATAGATATAGATCTTTACTAATTCGGGGAGCACGTTTTAGTAATTTTTCTAATTAATGTACAGTTTACTTAAAAAAATGTTTTTCTGATTTCATTATTTTTCTGAATGTAATTGTATTTTTAAACCGTAATTGTTTTTGCGATAAACATTTATTTCTTTCGTGTATCACTGACGTACAGTTTAATATGTAATGGAATTCAGCGCCTATTTCATTCAAATGACATTTCTTACGTAATCTAGTTTCTCTTGGTTCATTTAGCCAGCGTCCACCCAGAGAGTGTGAATTTTTATAAAAGATTAGTTTTAGGTTATATTTTGGATTTTTCAACTGTAATACTTTGTGAAAGTGTCATAGAAAAATATTTTATATAAAAAAAATCGGAGAACCCTTGGGGTACGGAACACGGAGGGGGAAGTCCCCAAGCACCTGTGAGTGTATATAATATCTAAAATATTTTGAATACTTTTTCACACTACGACACATGTTGTTGACTGTGTGGTTAAGTAGAAATGAATATATTTACTTTTACTTTTTTACTTTCATAAGAAAAGGAAAAATAAAAAGAAAATTTAGATAATTTTAAGAGATAGATCTACACATCACACATAAGTCACGTTACTCAGTTTGTTTACACATACTGTTGCATTATTTTTGTTTCGATTGGAAACAAGTTCTATAACTTACTAGTTCCTCTCCTGATACAGGCCCGTAGCAGCAGTTTTCAAAAGTGTGTGTGTGGGGGGGGGGGGGGGGGGCAACAATCATCTAGAAGAAAATTTAT